GAAATTTTTGGCTTCCAAAAAGTCACAAATCTGTTGTCAGTTGGAATAATCTCATCAATGATTGGTAAACTTGCAACAGATTGATAGTGGAAACTGCAAAATGGTAATGAGCAAAACTATGACAGAGAGTAAGAGATAATCATCACCAAAAGCTGAACCATATGTCTTTCTCACTAACCTGTTGTTGTCCAGTTAGCCCATATCGTCCAATGATCTTCCTCATCTCTTCTACATCTTTGATATCTGGATAACACTTCATCATCCACTTCAATGCAGACATGGTAAGGTCGAGTTGTTCGTGTAAATGCTGAAGCAAAAAGTCATTTTTGATTTAATCTAATACACAAAACAATTTTAAGGGGAGGGAGAAAAGTGACAAACTCAAACATAAAACTATTACAGTTACTACAATAATTTTTAGAATCTCATATTAAACCAAGTGTTCTGTTATGTAGTTTGTTACAAATAAAGCAAATTTGCTGGTAAACTCCTGAAGTCAGCAACATAAAATCACTTCGAAGTTTCGATCATGGAGTCATGTTAATCAACCGGTGATAACCACCAGGACTGACCATGACCCTAAACCTCGGCCTTTTTTGTCATCATTCTTCAGTCACCATGTCCACATTACATACAATACAGCATGCTACATGCCCCATGTGCTACCAGTAAATTCTGCATGCACTTACCTGGTGATATCTTCCTATCTTAAGATGAGAATGCCTTCGTATAATACCATCTGTTGGGAAAAGCTAGGAGAAGAGAAATTTTTAAACAGTTAGAATAATATCATCACAGTGACTGCTCTTTTTTTTTTTTTTCAAAAAAATGCCTCTAAATCTCAAGGTCTGAAGTCAGATTTGGTTAAGATCGCTTCAGGTATAATCATCGTACTGACACTACAACCAGTCCAGTATGGCCAAAGGATGACCGTACTGACCAGGGAGTGACCACAGTACTGGACCTCGGCCGCAAATTGTCATCATTCTTCAGACTATGCCACACAGATCTTATTTTATCTTTTTGATGAAATTAAACAAACAGCCATGATCTTTTTGACAGAAAGTTATCAAGCCAAACTTATTATTACAAAAAAAAAAAAGAGAGAGAGAGAGAATATTCGTCTATTTTCCATTCAAATGTAAGTATTTTTTTTTCATTTTCTATTGAATCATGTGCCATCAACAACTGTTGTATCATCACTGAGAATTAACCATCAGAAGAATCAACAGTGACCAGCCTTTATTTAAGATGGGTATGCAATGTCACTATAGTCACTGACAGTAATAATTTACATTGCATTGCATTTTAAGAAGAGATTTAAAAATTAAAAACTTCTGTGTAAACTATATCTACTAGTCTCACCTCTCCTGCTATAAGCTTGAGTAGTGTGGATTTCCCTGCTCCGTTTGGCCCCACTAGAGCCAGCCTAGTGTCCAAGTCTACGCCAAAGTCTAGGTTTTTGTAGATCCAAGGCTGAATAAGGGAAATAAATCAATAAATCAATATAGCACATCATGTATTTAGATAATAAATTCATTACACTTGATCATGGCACTTCTAAGACTGGCTGCACTCTTGGTCAATGATTAATTCCAGTTTTGAACTTTAGTAAAATAGTAAAAATGTCAGCATGCACTCTACACATCATTGCATAGTACAGATTGTGTAATACAGCAATGAAAATGGACCTTTTGAAAAAATCACAAAATGCACACGCTGCAGATATGAGTAGATTGTCATCGCTAATGACAAAAGATGTGTTGTGTATAAATACCTTGTCATCCTTGTATCTAAAGTTAACATGTTGTACCATGATCACAGGAGGAGGTATGTTACCACATTCTGGGAAATAAAAACTCAGCGTCTGGAAAACAAAGTGATTCATATTACAAAAGACGAAGGGAAACGGCTTAATTAAAATTTCACCTCAAGATTGCCCAAAGAAATTACTTTTCCTTGACTGATCCAAGGAAAAATATTTTTCAAGTTTTTACTATCTGTCTGTCTGTACATGAGTGTACATGTGTCAATCAAGAAATGTATATCAGCCAAGCATGTGTGTATGTGTGTGTTCACCCACGTGTTTTCATACCTTCGTTGACCATTTACTAACACACACACACACGTTACACTATTTCCTTACCTTGTCCCTGGTAACTTTCTCTGTCAGGCCACCATCAACCATCTTCTTGAGAGTTTTCTCCTTGCTCTGAGCTTGCCTGGCCAGCTTGGCACTGCCGTGACCAAACCTGGCTATGTAGTTCTGGGGGGTAAATCATAGCTCAGTTAATATCATTGAATGGCACAAAGGACATATACTGTATGTAGATCAAGGACAGGAAGTCCCCACAGCAACTGTTTCTTTCTTATCATACTAGATCATTCAAACAGACAAATCTACTCTAAGTGTGTTGACAATCTTGACCTTTTCATAAGACAGACTAGTAAAACTTAGTCTGAAATACATGGGTGTAGGTTGTAAAAATTGATAATTCTGAAAACTCATCTTACAATTTCTAACCCCATTTAGACCATATGAAAAAAACAATCAAAATGAAGAATGAAAATCCTAAAACCTTGAACCAATGGAAATACTTATACCTGCCGTCTAAACAGAACTGAGAAACATTTAAATCAGCAAAATAATGCTCAAGTCTTATCCATTAAATTTTCATTCAATGTTTACTGTGTACAAATCTGAACATGATCTAGTCTCTTCACAAGCACGCACGCAAACACACACACACACACGCAGCAAAGAATGAGCTGCCCCTACCTTCATATGAGCAATCTGATCCTGCTCCCAACGATACTGCTTCATCTGGTTCTCCTCCAACTCGTACCTGGTCTGCATGAAGGAATCGTAGTTACCCTGGAAACAAAACAAGAGCAACACATAGTAACTCTAGATTTTTTGGGAAATACCAACACCTGGAGCTGACTTGAAGTCTTATTCTGCAAATTGGTTTTATTCCATTGCATAAGACTCTCGACTTAATTCCATAGGCAGTTTTATTGCTGAGCTGCACTTCACAGTACACATAACATACATCTATGCGTGCACTTATGAATTTGCTACATGTAATAGCCATCATCTATATGGCTATCTATAATACTGATTTTTTTTTTCACTGTTTCTGCCTGTAGCAAATAATTTGCAATTTTTCTTAATTTCAGAATGAAAGTCTTAAATTGAGGATAGACAAAAACTGTGTGGATAAAAGAAAAACAAAATACAGAGTAAAAATCCTTCTTTGACAACTTACTCCGTAGTATTTTAGCTTCTTCTTCTGCATGTGGATGATATTGGTGCACACATTGTTCAGGAAATCTTGTGAGTGTGAGATCATCACCAGCATCCGAGAATAACTGAAAGACAAGTTATTTTCATCCTATATTAATGTACCCTGGATGGGAGAGGAAGGGAGGGGGGAGCTTACCATTGATCTGGTTTGTCTGGTGATGTCAGGCAGACTATTTACAGTTTGGGTTTTGCACATTTCTGAGCAAGTAATAACAAGTCATTTTCTTTTACACAACATTGCATAGAAAAAAAGTGGACCTTTTAAAATTATCAAGAAATACAAGCACAGAAGGCCGACAGCCCTATATGCAACACGTAAACATCAGGATTTCCCGAAAGTTTGGGGAGACCTTCATTGCCAGGTGTAGCTCTCTGGGCTCACGCTAGACGCTCGCAAAGTTCGCTATAGCGAACTTCATTTCAGAAATGCGAAAACAAAATGTTACCCGTTCGCAAATTTTGCGAAACTGTTTATACAATAAAATNATCTTTCAAAAATTGCTAATTGAAATCGGAAAATGCTAATAGAAATTTGTACCCTTTAGCAAATTTTGCTAATCAAAAATAATGACTAGAGTGAGCACAGGCTCTTGTGTGCATGTTTAACGTAAAGGGTAAAATTCTGTAGAGTTTGCATTTATATTCTGGAAATTTGACCTTTCAGGATACAAATCAATTATCTATCTGAGAACTTTTGGTAATTTTAATTACTATAAGGCCACTGGAAATTGTTAACCCAGACTGGAAAACCCCTTTAAAAAGTCTTACTTTTTAAGCTCAGATTCCAGCCACACGCAGGCGTCCAAGTCTAAGTGGTTGGTGGGCTCGTCAAGAAGTAGCAAGGCTGGTTTAATGAACAAAGCCCTCGCCAGTGACAGACGCATTCTCCAGCCACCAGAGAAGTTCTTCACCTAAGTGAGAGAATGTTTATATGTTTATGTTTGTAAATGTTGATATTAGGAGTATTATCAGAACACAATTATCATTTATATACTTTAAACATCTTACTTCCACCAGTATTCCATTTTTTCCACAGCATCATTTTTAGTTACTCCCAAAAATGTTCTTTCTGACATAAAACCCCATTTGCTTTTTTTCAAACTTAGTAATCTTTTCCAGATATTACCAGCAAAATGTTCTTTAAAGATAATTTAGAAAAAAAAATAAAAATGAAGAGGTACCGCAGTATGTTGCATCCCCTGTGTGAAGCCCAAACCACGCAAAATATTTGCCGCTTTTGCCTCAGCCTTGTTAGCATCCAAGTCATCCAGACGGTCATAAACCTCCATTAGCCTTTCATGAATGAGGTCTGGAAAATAAACAATAAAAGGAACTTAATCAAGAGAAAAAAGTTTTTTTTTAAATCATACGTTCAATATTTGTTGTTGCCTATAAAGTTTGAAAAAAAAAAAAATAATAAAAATACACACATTTACGACAAAAAGGTATTTTTCACCATTATTATTCCAGTAAAATATTCAAGCCTAGTTTGTTAAAGTGCAGGAGATCAATTAGTGTGCATTAACAGAGTGGAAGCAAGAAAAACACACTTTTCCTGTTACTTATTTTGAAGTAAAAAGGTATGCTACTTATTTTGAAATAAAAAGGTAAAGTTTTTTTCTTTTTTAATTTTGTATCTTTGATGAAACAGATCAGCAGGCTGTGTATAATATAATAAGTCAATCGTAAAAACCAGAATCACTTGGAAAAAAAAAAAATTACCATCATCCCCTCGATGGGACAAATCCTCAGCCTCTTTCTCAAGCCGTATCCTTTCCTCGTCAACCTCCATGACTACCTCCAAGGCAGTTTTATCGCTGGGTGGCATTTCTCGCCGTAAATGAAATATATCTATGTGGTCTGGTATAGGAACCTCTCTGTTGCCCAGGACTGATAATAATGTAGACTTTCCTGGAAAGATGAGGAAAATATAGACATAAATGACCACATTTAAAGAGCATATCACATCTTTTCTGATGAGAGGAAAGGAAGATATATTATTAATGCATTTCAGAGGGCATTTTATATCCATCATAAGCCATGAAAATGAATCAAGAGATGGATAAATAGAAGCCCATAAATAAAGAAAAAATCTCTGAACATATAAAAATTGAATTGTTGTTATGTACAATCCACACAACCTCAAATTTTGTAAACATAACCATATATCCAAAACCATAATTATATGGTTCATAGTAATTTACCCTATAAAATGGGTGACAGTTTGAACCACTTTCAAAACTGTTTTTACACTGTCATCTATGTACCAGTGAGACTTATCACCTTCCATCCTTCCTCAGGAATATATTTCCCAACTTAAAGTCAAATTGAACTCACCACACCCATTCAGCCCAATCAGGCCATACCGTCGCCCACAGTTGAACTCGGCACTTGTATCAGTAAGTATTTCTGCTCCGTGAAACGTAATGGTCAGCTGATCTAGCTTAATGTCCCTACTGTCAGGATGTGACGCTAACACACCCGTGCATGCTCGAAATTTGGCAGCAAGGTCAAGGCCATCGAACTCGGCAGCGAGATTGGCATCAACAACATCTGTTGAGGAGAGAATTACTGAGTTTATTTGTCGATATGGACATATCATCAGATATACAAGTCCTTCAAATATTATAACAAAATATTTTTCAAAACATCATCTCAGAAAACTATGATAATTTAGATAAAATTTCATTCTTAAACATATTTATCAATTTATAATACAGTGTAGTCTGGCTAGACAGGTGAGAAAATAATTTCTAACAATCCTGAACAGTGGTACATATGATCTAAAAACAGGATATTACGCAACTATGAACAGACCATGAAACACAAGAAAAGATTAGGGACTGAAACCAAGAGACTTGAGATGATCTCACCTGTTCCATTCTGTTTAGCCTCTCCACTGGCTTCCCCTGCTCCATTCTGTTTTGGAATTCCATTTTCCTCAACAACATTTTCTTCAGCAACTCCATTTTCTGTCTTTGTAGGCTTTTTCTGTCCTCTCTGCTTTGCTGCCTCTTTCTTCTTTGCGTCACGCTTCTTTTTGGCATCAGAAGGCATGTTTGGTTCTTAATCTGAATCAAAATCAGACGAAAAACAATTAATAATTTGAATAAAATATATCTGGCCTGTATGACAGTCAAACAGTTTCTTTAATTGATAGTATAGAATCTGACAGAGGTACCATATGACAATTCAAAGAAATGTTTAAATTGTACTGCTCAGTCTGATAATTCTTGGTCTATCACATAAATAAGCCTCAGTTCATCTCATGCAGCTGTTAACTATTCTTTAAGAATATAGCAAATATATCATGCCTATCCTTTTCAGTGAATCACTAGACCATATCATCTGTGAAATACAAAAGAGACAGCTGGGTGAAATCCCAAATGCTGCTGGTCACTACGTCTACTTTACCTGATACCAAAAACAACAAGTCGAGAAAAGATGTAGTAACTCAGACCTCGTCTATGCATCCGGTGATAACCATACAAAAAGAAAACCCACACCGAAAGAGCTCAACAATGCCATTTGCCAACCTCCCAACAATGAACTCTCAAAAACGCACCGGCGTTTCACTTTTTATAATTCTACCTGTCATTCAAATACCACACGTCAATATAATTGTTGTATGTTTAATGTCAACAATCAACAAAATGTAGTCTAATAACTCTTCTGTTATAAAAAAATCGTGTCCGGCCGATAAAATACGTCTCCATACGTCATTCTGAATAGCCATTGAGGTGATTTTACAGGCGAAAAAGACCCTAGTTGTCAAGGCTAATTTACCCATTTAGATTACAGTAAATACTAAATACAAAACTAAGTAAAGTTCTAAATATTATAAAGGATTCATAACAAATCTTAAATTATACATCCAGTATGATTTTGAGTAACAAAACGTACCTTCCTTCTCACCTTACTTATTCCGCCAAATGTCTTTACATGTGCTTTGACTATGGCGAATATTGGATGACCACATATGGAAATTTCCGTTGTGGGCGGAATCACCCGATTAGCATCTAGCTGCAGTAAATTTATACAAATGGTACATTGGTAGAAACTAGTACAGCAACTTGTCATTCTTTATCGTTTTGTTTAAAAAGAAAGACTCTAAATGTCTTTAAATAACATATTAGTAAACATCAAAGGTATATTTTATTGCTGAAAGAAAACGTTTTTAATATAATTCCCCCATTTAAATTTCTGCGAGGCTATTACAAAACAAACGTGAAAAGTGAAACATGGAGCAGTTTCACAAGTGCGTGTAAATTCTTGCAATTGTCTATTGAATCAACAATTCATAACACGCAGATGAGTTAACCACTAAGGTACTAGTCTGTCTTATACCAGAGAAATGTTTGGTGACTTATTCGAGGCCGAAGAGGACGCCGAAACTTCCTTAAATCAGGCCAGTGGAAGGGTCCACGGCTTGGAGAGCCCTCCGCCGCCGCGGCTCCCAAGCGGCTTGTGTGGGATAAAAAATCAAGGCGCGACCTGCTATCTAAATTCCTTGCTACAGACTCTGTTGTATACACCAGAGTTTAGAGGTACAGTTCAGGGTTTTTTTTTTTTTTTTTTTTTTTTTTTTTTTTTGGAAATTTTTTTTTTTTTTTTTTTTTTTTTTGTTTTTTTGGGGTTTTCTTTGGGAATTTTTTTTTCAAATTTTAAAATTTT